CACCCACCCACCCACCCACCCACCCACCCACCCACCCACCCACCCACCCACCCACCCACGCACGCACGCACGCACGCACGCACGCACGCACGCACGCACGCACGCACGCACGCACCCACACACACACACCCACACACCCACACACCCACACACCCACACACCCACACACCCACACACACACACCCACACACACACACACCTACACCTACGCAGACACACACACACACGCACGAGCACACGCACACACACACACACACCCACGCACATCCACACACCCACACCCACACGCGCACGCACGCACACACATGCACACACGTGCACACACGTGCACACACACACACACATACACCCACGCACGCACACCCACACACACACACACCCACACACGCACGCACACGCGCGCGCGCAACACCAACTCTTGAGCAACCAGTCAATGGCACCCCTGCATGTCGGCTCGCTGTGCCTTTTTGGTCACTTTCCATTATATGCTTTCGGGCCACCCGTGGTTCTAGTTCCCGAAAGCATCGCGAAGGGTTCTTCCGTGCGGAGCCCTTGGACAAGTTACACAGAGCCAAGTTGCACAGAGCCAAGTTGCTCAGAGCCAAGTTACATAGAGCCAAGTTACATAGAGCCAAGTTACATAGAGCCAAGTTACATAGAGCCAAGTTACATAGAGTCAAGTTACATAGAGCCAAGTTACATAGAGCCAAGTTACATAGAGCCAAGTTACATAGAGCCAGTTACATAGAGCCAAGTTACATAGAGCCAAGTTACATAGAGCCAAGTTTCATAGAGCCAAGTTACATAGAGCCAAGTTACATAGAGCCAAGTTACATAGAGCCAAGTTACATAGAGCCAAGTTACATAGAGCCAAGTTACATAGAGCCAAGTTACATAGAGCCAAGTTACATAGAGCCATGTTACATAGAGCCATGTTACATAGAGCCAAGTTACATAGAGCCAAGTTACATAGAGCCAAGTTACATAGAGCCAAGTTACATAGAGCCAGTGGCACAGAGCGCCATGTGTCACCGAGCCAGGTGTGCACAGATAGCCAAGGTTAGTAGAGCTTGGGCTTAGAGCTTCGGCGTAGCAGCTTATGTAAGTTCAGTTTAGGTTTCTAAGGCGCCTGGGCGGGAGTTTGATCGTCGCTCGGGATCGCGACCCTCTGCAGAGATTCGCGTGGTCGAGGTTCAAAAACTGTGGACTTTTTACGATTTTTTTTACGATTTCTGCGGTGCGCGCGCGACCCTCTGCGGAGATTCGCGTGGTCGAGGTTCAAAAACTGAGGACTTTTTACGATTTCTGCGGTGCGCGCGCGACCCTCTGCGGAGATTCGCGTGGTCGAGGTTCAAAAACTGAGGACTTTTTACGATTTCTGCGGTGCGCGCGCGACCCTCTGCGGAGATTCGCGTGGTCGAGGTTCAAAAACTGAGGACTTTTTACGATTTTTAGCATGCGCGCGCGACCCTCTGCGGAGATTCGCGTGGTCGAGGTTCAAAAACTGAGGGGTTTTAACGATTTCTGCGGTCCGCGCGCGACCTTCTGCGGAGATCGTGCGCGTCGAAGCGCTCTCGCTGTGGCGCCGTGCGAATTTGTCTTAGTCTCGGCGAACCCTCTGCGGAGATTGTGCGTGTCAAAGCGCTCTCGCTGTGGCGCCGTGCAATTTTCTTGCTCGCGAAACGGCCTTTGGAAGTTGTCTCGTGGTGTGCGCGCCTGCTTTCGCAATCCCGCGGTCGCGGGTTCGATTCCCCCCTGGTCTGCGGCAGCTCCGGCTTGAAAATCGCAGCTTTTAAGTACAAACGTAGTACGCGGAGCGTGCTCCTGCAGCTCCGGCTGGAAAATCGCAACTTTTAAGTACAGACGTAGTATGCGGAGCGTGCTCCCGCAGCTCAGGCTGGAAAATCGCAACTTTTAAGTACAAACGTAGTACGCGGAGCACACCCCCGCAGCTCCGGCTTGAAAATCGCAACGTAGTACGCGGACCGTACTCCTGCAGCTCCCGAAAATCGCAACTTTTAAGTACAGACGTAGTATGCGGAGCGTGCTCCCGCAGCTCAGGCTGGAAAATCGCAACTTTTAAGTACAAACGTAGTACGTGGAGCACACCCCCGCAGCTCCGGCTGGAAAATCGCAACTTTTAAGTACAAAAAAAGTACGCGAAGTACATTCCCACAGCTCCGGCAGCACTTGCGCAGAGCAACTTGCGCAGAGTCACTTGCGCAGAGCAACTTGCGCAGAGCAACTTGCGCAGAGCAACTTGCTTGCACAGAGCAATTGCACAAAGCACTTGCGCAGAGCAACTTGCACAGACCAACTTGCACAGAGCACATGCGCAAAGCGCTTGCACGGAGCAACTGGCGCAGAGCAACTTGCTCAGAGCACTTGCGCAGAGCAACTTGCACAGAGCACATGCGCAAAGCGCTTGCACGGAGCAACTGGCGCAGAGCAACTTGCACAGACCAACTTGCACAGAGCACATGCGCAAAGCGCTTGCGCGGAGCAACTGGCGCAGAGCACTTGCGCAGAGCAACTTGCTCAGAGCACTTGCGCAGAGCAACTTGCACAGAGCACTTGCGTGCAGCAGCGTGCAGCAGCTTGCAGAGAGCAACTTGCGCGCAGCAGCCTGGAACAATGCAGCTTGCGCAGACCACTTTGGTGAGAAATCGCGCGGCGCAGTTCGAGAGGAAAGTAGGATGATGAGATGGAGCTCTCATGTGACCATACACACTGAGCATCGCCGCGCGCAGACACGCTCGCCGCAGCGATGTAAAAAGGTGTCTCCGCACCTGGATGAGCGCCTGTGGAAAAATGCTTTCGGGCTTTCGGGCCAATCATCCTCTAGTTCTTTTTTGGGGGGATTTTCTATAAGCGTGTTTCAGTCCAAAACACAATTAAACCAAACACACTTGAGGGAAACAAACATCAAAAGACATTGAGGACAATGGTCTGGTCACGCGCAATACCTTTTGTCTGGGGAATTGCTATTTGTTTGTGTTTTGCTCGAGATATGTGTTTTTCCAGTTTCATCCATTTTCCTAGCAGATCTTTTTTTCATGCAAGAGCTTTCTCCAGGCACCGGAACTACAACCCACTCAGAACATGTTGGCCTTTTAAAGAGCAGCCTTGGGCACCACGTCCGAGGTGTTGAGCCACGTCATCACCCTACTGGGCGCCTGCTACGTGGCCTCCCGCGCCCATCGCTCGGCGCAGCTCGGGAAGGCGGCGTGCCTCGGTGAGCTGGGCGACGGGTGTCGTTGGCTTGAAACGTTCTTTCGTGCAAAATGAGTCATAGCTGTGGGAAATGCGGCTTTGGCCCATGGGCCCGATTTCTGTGACACTGAGGGAGTCCTATGCCAACTTCGGCAGCACAAAAAGGGTCATTCTCCACAATCAACCAACAAGTTGCCGTGGGGTTCAGGCTAATCCACTCAAGCGAGATGGGGGTGTCAGTGTCAGGTCTTTTGGTTTGCCTGGTCTCGCAATGTGCTTATTTTTTCTGACATCCAAGGTTTGGTGGTGTGAAAGCGACATTTCAACAATTCTCCCATGGCGCCTTTCAAAGGTTAGTCGCGGCTTGGGTAGGGATCCGTTGCCTACTTCACCTTGCGTAGAGGGCATCGGAGGCTGCGCCGAGAGCTTTCGACGCTGGCTGCTCCTGAGGTTCTCGGGGAAGCCAGTGGTGCACATGACCATTGTGCAGGACCCAGCGAACAACGCCGGGCCCCCCAGTGCCAGTGCGGAAGCAAGCCCACGTTGGGACACCCCAGGAGAAGTCCTGTTTTCTTTTTTTTGGGGGGGGCCTTGCTGCGAAAAGCCGATTCTTTGGGGGCCATGATTAGAAGCCTCTACGTCGCAGGAGTTCTCAACAAAAAGCCTTGGATGTGCTGGTGGATGCGTTCATGTGGGTATTTCTAAACAAAAGAACTACTTAAAACTATTCGGGTTCTTCTTACTTTTCCATGTGCCGTCCAAAGGGTTCTTCCTTATTTGGGCGGCGGGTGCATTGTATTATGCGCGTTTGACAGGCCAAATTCATAGGAGGGACCGAGGGAAGACTGCACCCAACCTTGAGCGACGTCCCTATTTTTCAGTGCCGGCTTCGGCTCTATGAAAGGTTAACTACGCATTCGCCTCTACCCAAACCACACACACCCATCTGGGTTTGAGCATATGGCTTTCTAACATATTGCCTTTAACTGGGGTTTTAAACCTTCCGAAATGCGAATGATCAATCGCACGGAGGGGATGTGTCCATGCTCCGGTCGCGAAGCAATCCGCACCGAGGAGAGCTTCGAGGTGCGTGAGGCGGCGTACCGGGAGTTCCTCTCAAAGTGCCCGGCCACCTGTGGCGTGGGGACTCCGACGGGGGCGTTGTGGGGGTGGTTTTTCGAGGGCGTCCTCTTTTGGGTTGTTGCAAAGAAAATCCACAGAACTTCCCGTTTTGGCGTTTCCAACCAGTTCGAGACATGCCCCAAAAGGCCCCTTCGAGGTGGTGTCGCATTTTAGTGAAAGAAGGTGTACCCTCCTTTGGCGCGCACACACACAGCAGCAGGAACCCGCACACACACACACACACACACACACACACACACACACACACACACACACACACACACACACACACACACACACACACACACACACACACACACACACACACACACACACACACACACACACACACACACACACACACACACACACACACACACACACACACACACACACACACACACACACACACACACACACACACACACACACACACACACACACACACACACACACACACACACACACACACACACACACACACACACACACACACACACACACACACACACACACACACACACACACACACACACACACACACACACACACACACACACTTAAACTCCAGATGCAGGGTGCTAATCTTTCGAGTACAACTGATGAGTCTCGAGTACAACTGATGAGTCTCGGCTGAGTTCTGCTTGCAAGTCACTTGGCTTCACTTTAGAAACGAAAACGTTACAGGAAAGAACAAGAAGCACAAACAGCGCCGCAACTAAGGGGGCCAAAAAGACATTCAGAGATCACTTGCAGGTACGCATTGAGGCGTCCCTCAACGCTTCCGGCCAAACTTCCATAGCTTCGTTGGCGTGGCTAGGAAGATGGCTGCCACGCCCCCTGCTACTCATAGTGGTGACAGGGCATTCTGTCACTCCGCACACACACGCCCCTCAGTGAGGGGCGAGAAGTCTCTTTTTCAGAAGGAAGATCACATGCTCAACTTTGTGTCCCTATCGTTTACCAAAATATCCACCGCGGCGAGGGGAACGCGAAACTGCCCTAAGCCGCTCAGAAGACGGGAACGAAAGATCACCACGATGAGCATTACGGGTGTCGCCATAGAAGACTGGAGGGAATTGCAAAGCAGTCGAGCGACCACCGTCAGAAATAGGGGGAGCATAGGTGAACATTTCCTCGACTCGGATTGCGTCGGAATTCTGCACATCAACAAGTGATTGATCACGGGCATGATGTGTGGAGAAGGACTCCCTGCGAGACAGAATGCGTTGGTGTTGGTATCGTTGATGCTGCCAGTCGCGAATAGTCCACGCCTGACTGTGTTCACCAGTCCCACCAATGGGATCAGTCCACTCCCGAAACAAGTTGTCTGGTAGGTCAGGTACGGTTTCTCCTGGTTGCCATAGCTGAGGTTGTCCCGGAGTATAGATCCGCACCCACTCCTGATCCTGCCAGACCGAATATTCGAGCCATGGGTACTGCTTTGCATCCTCGATGTCCATGCCGAAGTGAGAGACAGGGCGTACCGCGGGTTCAGATCCAGCTAGTAAAGAAACAGTCACCATGCACAACCATGCACAATCAGCAACCAAGCAAGGCAGCAAAAGCATGAAAATCACCCTCTTGTGCCATGCCCAACACGCATCAGTCTAGTCATCATTTAGCTCGAAGATAGGCTTCACCTTGGCGGTGGAGCTGCATGATTGGGTCGTAGGCAGGTATGGATCAGAGACCCCAATAGACTCTGGTGGTGCAATTCCACGAGATGCACGTACTGGTTGGTGTTGTTGGGATGCATGACGCGCGCGATCCGACAGTTGTTGAGAGATCCCATCTTGAAGACGAGTCAGATCCTCAGTGGAGAAAGCCGCCGCATCCGATGATCTAAGAATCGCATCCAACATTTGCGGTGACATACACAATGCCGAGGATTGCGTGGCCACGTTATGTTGATCAGGAAAAGACATCGAGTCGAAGTCATGACCAGCTTGAGGGGCAGCGACTCGCCGATAGCCCTCTGTGGCCCAGTCTCTTTTGTACCAAATGCTGTCGTTGGGCTGCGCACCGTCTTGATCAGGATTTGGGACATAGAACTCCTTCCACTCTCTGTATGTGTGAGGCGGAGGTGGAGCATCATGTTCGTCGTGTGGAGTCCATGATCCCGGATGAAAGATCTTGACCCACTGGGCATCTGGCTGTTGAGGATCCGGACACCACTCCAGCCACGGCATGACAACTCAAACCCTTGATGACAGATTGAGAGGTGTACGGCTGCAGACAGCTATTACTACATGTGACACAACATCAAACATGCAAGCAAACACTTTTGTAGCAAGGCGCGGCTCAGGTGTCGAAGTCACTCGCCCCAATCAAATTGAATTGAATATCCAGAAAAGACGAGGACGAGCATCAGCCACCATCTGAGTTCGAGGATGCCGACGAAGAGGACAGTCCAGCGTACATGAGGTCTGGTGATCCCGAAGCGAAAACTGGACGTGCAATGTTGGGGTGCGGATGACCGAGTCGTTGATATCCTCTGGTGACCCAGTCACGATACTGCCATGTATAGAAGGACGCATATGAGACCGGCTGGGAAACAGAGCCCATACTGATGCCGCCCGTGCTGTCCCTAGGCCAATACACGTCGAAGTGGTAGACTTTGCGCCATTCCCGATAGGTCCTCCGGGGCAGGTCCCAAGGTGTTTTCGGCAACTGGTTGCCACGGACCAGGTACATAGACCCGACTCCATTCAACGCTTGTGCTCGCAGGGCCATTGACGATGTCGTACTCAAAGTAGCGTGGCAGGGTCCATCTTGCAGCGCCATATATTGTAGAACTGAACATATCAACCAGGGAAGCCGCTAGGAGGCAAAAGGGAAGCGGCGAAAACATGGAGACGGAAAGCACAACACAATCCAAGCACAACCCAACATGATGCCGCAATCAAATCAGGCACAATCGCATCATTTTAACCGACATGTTGCTCAAGTATCAATCCGAGTCGTTCCAAAGATCATAGAATGGTGGTGGTGAAGGTTCCCGCCACGCCCCATCCGGAACTGAAGACTCCAACGAGGAAGTAGCTTCTTCATTCACGAGCGCCGCCGATCCAATGGCTGGTAGAGGAACGCCAAGGCGTTGATAACCTCGTGCTTCCCAGTCTCGGTACTCCCACACGTGGTGTGACACATACGAACTGGGCGTGACATTGGGGTTCGCAGCTGTTCCTCCGGTGCTGTCTTCGGGCAAGTACACGTCAAAGTGATATGACTTGCGCCACTCCCGATACGTGGAAGCGTAGTCTGGGGCACGAACCAGAGTATCTGTGGCTACGGGTTGCCACGTGCCCGGTGTGTAAATTCGAATCCATTCCACTCCTCTCTCGATGTGGTACTCAAAATAGTGAGGGTTCATAGCGGCCAAACGGGTCGTCGCAGGGCCGCTGAAAGAAATCGTAAATCCACTGAATCTGCGGCGAAGACACTCATGCCATGACAACCTGACGCAATGAGAGTGTGTTGAACAACGCAATGCAAGGCAACTTTTCAAACTGAAGGCGGGACAAATCCACAAGGTCTATAGTATACGACACCTACGCTTCACCGCCGCTGATGCCGCACACACCTGCAATGGTAATGTCCTGGTCGGCGACGAGCACAGGGAGAAAGACACTTCCGTCCATGATGTAGAAAGGCATGACAGTAATGCTTGCAACTTGTCAATGGGGACAGCGATGGACGGGTGGCTCGTTTTGAAGGGAACACGGTGAAGGGTCGCCGAGATCTCCGCAGGGCAGAAGCGGATGCTGTTCGAGAGCGTTTCGGAGAACGCCTAAGACTGCGTAGATCATCATCACGGAACTGGTCAGTGCTGCATATCGAGCGGCGTGTGCGCTGCGATTTCACTGTGGCAGGGCAGGACTGTCCTCGAGGAGAAGGGCTCGAGGAGGCACGCAATGAGGGCATAAACTGTGGGTGTAGAATCACCGGTGGTGGTGGCGGTGGAGGAGGTGGAGGTGGAAGAAGTATTGGAAACCTTGGCGGGGGCGGAGGTGAAGCAGTCCATCGAACTGGTCTGTCAAGCAATGTACCAGGCCCGTGAAACTGTAACCACGTCGGCTGCGCTCCATGGGTCCAAGTAATGTATGTCTGCACATCTTGCTCCGACATGATTTGAGCAGCTCAGCCATGCATGAAATCCAAGTCATCAACAACTTCCATGACAGCCAACAATGTCCTCACTGGTAGAAATGTCATGTAGGTCCGTCAAGTCATTACTGCAAAGCATGCCAGCCATGTCATGCAAACAAGCAAGGAAAGAATCATGCGATCTGCCATGACTGCAATCCAAACCATCACGACAACATGCAACGCTCACAGAATGCACTGCCACGTCCTACGGGCTAGTCCTCCGGTAGTCACTGGTTCTTTCGACGCACGGTGCCCTAAGCGCGAGCCTCAAGTTGCTGGTAGACCTTCCAGGCCTGCTTGACTTCCTCAATGGGCTTCTGAAGGAAACGGGCAATGGTTTTGTAGGTGGGCCTGGAATCCTTGTCCTTTTTCCGTCTGACCATCTCATCCAGCTCACCTTGTGTCCACGCCGAAAAAGGTTCACGATGTGCATTGCGAAGGGCAATCGTGAATTCTTGTAGAAGTTCCCGAGGTCCATGAACCACCGTGGGAGATGGACGGAACGATGAAGCACCTGGGTGTGGACGAACTGAACCATCCGAATCCGAATCAGGTGTGGTAGGCGATGTCTGTCCTGGTTCGCGTCCACTGTGAGGGGGTAGGGGAGCAAGAGGCCTTGGCGGTGGCAACCGATCCAACATTGACTCTGGACGGCGACCAGAAATGCTGTCAGCGGCATCCCGATGTGCCGCACGAGGCGGGGATAAGGCCGGTATATACCAGGTGGAGGAAGTATCCAGAGGCCGGGTTCGAATTCGAGTAGGAGAGCGAGATCGATCGGACGAGATGCGCTCTGTGATGATGCGAGGGCGCAGTCCGTGCCTGGAATTCCGTGGGGCCCTAGGGGAC